TAAAATAAATTCCAAATTTCAAATTTGATCTTCCACATGCTCTTAATCGTAGGACGATTACGTCATTCAAAATTCGATGGCTCTATGTACCGTTGTTTTATCACAATGCGAGAAATATACATACAAACATTGATGCAAGATTTTTCCTTATTTAATTTCTTCAAGGACATTTAATGCAGGACTTTGGTGGCAACAGTTTGAAAAGTGAAACGGACATTTATAGTGATTCCAACGCAAAATCACAAAACGAAAACAATAGTCCTTCAGGGACAAATCCCTTTAAACTAATAAAGAAATTTTTTAAAATACCTAAAAGGTTTCAGATTTTACAATTACGTCACAAAGGGGCATTTTTTTTTAATGTTTTTTGTGTGTTACCTTTATTTATTGAACATCATGTTCTTCGCACTTAAACCATACAAATGCAATTCAACAGCAGTATCGCAAAATAATTTCAATTCAATTTTCGTGCTGAAGATCTTTCAAATTTCCGATACACAGTTCCGCGCGCTCGAGATAAAAAGGTTTTTTTTCCCTGTGGAGTGTTGCCATTACTCGCTTTTAAATCGTTGTGTTTGTTAATCAAAAATTCGTTAAAGTTTTATAAAATATGAAATAGAAAATAAAACAAATTCCAAATTCTAAAATAAGGGCTTCCATATGCCCATATTCGGATGGAAACGTATGTTATTGAAAATTAAATGGCTCTAGGTACCGTTATTTTATCACAGTGGGAGAAACATACATACATTTATGCAGATGCTTCATTATTTAATATCTTTAAAATGTAATACAGGACGATAATATTTGGTGGCAACAACTTAACGGAAAGTAAATCGGACATTTATAGTGAACCAACGTAAAATTCCAAAACGAAAATAATAGTCCTTCAGGGCAAATTGCTCCTTTGGACTAGCATAAAAATAAGCATAAGCATAAAAAATACATAAGAATACATAAGCGTAAAGGAAATGTGTATTTCATGAATGTAAATCATTAACAGTTACTGAACAGGTGTGCAAAGTTTCCATCACATTTTAGCTGCACATCATGTTTAGTTTGCGTGACCTGAAGTTTGAAACATTTTTTTTTTTTTTTTTTCAGTTAATATCATTCTTGCCTCTGCTACTGCAAACGCAGTTTCGCTGATTTTTTTTTTGGGGGGGGGAGAGAAAATCACCCAAAACAGCGTTACGTGTGACTAATAGATAATCATAGTTAAGAATAAAGTTCGAAGGAAGACGTTACAAATTTAGCAAAGTGTTTAGAAAAAACACTTTTAGTAAGATATAGTGGAAAAAGAACTTGAGTAATTTTGCTTCCCTATGTTTAAACTTTAGACTATATCCCCTTCCGTCACGCTGAATTCTTATTTCAGCAACAGAAATTCGTTTGTCTAGTGGGATTATATATATGTAGAAGTTTGTAAGTTGTAGTTTCTTTTCTTATTTATGTACAGTACCACCTACGCGGCCAGCCCCTAAAGTAGTTATGAAAACAAGAAATGTATAAGGAATTTATTGAATGCAACTAGTGTAGTTTCACGAGCCCAGCTAGTAAAATAAAAATGACAGTCATGAAAAATTGCGTTTACTACTTTTAAATTACTTAATTTACTTAACATAACAGACAGATTAAATGTGGAAGAAAAATTAAATATCTTATCGTTTGCGAATGGCAAAATAGTGGCTTATTGAAAATAAAAATATTTTATTTCGGACAGTAGTAACATGTTTTTTTTTTTTTTTTTTAAATCGCTGAGTTGGTTGATAAAATTTGAAAGACAAATATGTTATCCTTTTCGGAGAAGCACCGTACTATTTTTGAACTGCTGAGTTTTCTTAATGAATTTAAACATAAATATTTTACGATTTGTCGCGTGGCAACATATTGTTTTGGAGTAAGTATGTTCAAACGGGTGTACTCCAACTGCGCTGATGAAAATCTACCCCTCGTCCTGCTATAGTCCAACTGCGCCGATCAAAATTACTTTCCCCCGTTGCCTACAGGGTTACAATACAATTTTATTTTTCGAAGCCAACTGTAGCCAAGAGGAAAATAAAAATAAAGAAATATATTTTTTATAAATGAATAGTGGATTTGTTGCCAATCTAGAGAAACTATGCTTCGGCAACAACAAAGATAACGCCTTCTTTTATTATTATTGCGAATTAAGTCATGCTTAATCCTTTCTGGAATTTATTCCAGGAAATAAGTGTTTGAAATTTACTTCGTAATTAATACAGATATTTTGAGTTTTTATGTATTTTTGCCTTGTCGTGAAGTAAGAAACTGAATTAATTGATGAGAAACACTGAATTGTCTGTGAAAAATCGTTTCTTTTTTGTTTGTTTAATTTCTTTTATACATCACTTTAGATTTACTTTTGTTAATTGCTCTGTAACACAAAAGAAATTTTCAGAGGACTTTCGTAATACTCTTGCAGGCATTAAATTAATCTTTGTAACAACATGTGGCGCTACAGGGCATTCTTCATGAGCACAACTATTGGCTCTGACCTTTTTCACCCCTACAACCGGAAGCCAGTGTATATTACTTAAATAGCTAAATTTTCAATCAGTTCCGAATGATTCTTTGACTATCTTGGTGAAAAATCTATTTGCTTCTGAATATTTGCTGAGAAAAATATTTAAAAACAGGTTAGCATGATAAAGGATAAACTTAAAGAAAATGCTAAAGTATGAATAAAATAAATAAATAAGTATAAAATATTAAATCACGAAAACGATTTCTAGAGTAAATTTTCTTAGGGTTGAATTTTAAAAATACAGTAGAAATGAGAAGAGAATTTAGATCTCTTTCATATCATAAGTTTATTAAGCATTATATACCCTACACGGAGCACGCATTCCTTGAAACTGAAATACGGACATAGCGGCACAGAAAAATATTTTTTGAAAAGAACTATGTAGTAATGCATAAATGAAAGAAATTAAATAAAAACTATCAAAGAAAATATATAAGAATTATTACATCAAATACTCTCTTGACCGCAAGTGATAGAATTTTGTTTTCTCGTTTATCTTTCAGCAAAGCTTATACAATTAAATAATCACTTTCATTCGCGTAAAATTATAAACAAATGTAAATTATTATACAAAACGCATAAAGTTAAACACTACAGTGTGAAAGGAAAATTCTGGAATAAAAATGTTAAGAAAATTAGATGAGAAATAATCCATAATTTATTGATATCCATATACTAAACTCTATGCTTTTGGAAAAAGTTACACATAATTTGCACTGAGGTATCAATCACCGAAACCAAGTTAATTTCTTTCTTATCAGAGGGATTTGTAAAAAGATACGCTAAGGTGAAAAATTTTTGCAATATTTTTAAAGAATAAATTTTAAAAAGTATTTTTACTTCATGAACTGAAATTTTTACTATACATTTTTACACAGTAAATAAGTACAAAAAAAGAAAGAGCTAGGGGATCACTGGGACTAGAAACTCGGGTCGAACTACCAATGTTTAGTGACTTTTCCGCTTGATCATAAGACCTTTTTGAAATTAGGCTGAACAATATATTAAAGAAAATAGAAGATACAGCACACGTAAGAACAAAAGTGGGCTGAATTAGAGATTTACATGTTTAATGAATAAGTTAAACTTACCTGTATGCCATTATGAAATATTAGGAAGTAGCATAAAAGCATGAGTGAAGAAGGCAATGGCAATCTAAATCATTCTAATCTAAATGTATAACATTATCAGTCTATCTGTAATCTATTATAACATTATCAGTATCTGCTATTAATTTCAATACTGCTGAAAAAATTATAAATGAATTATATTATAAATCACGTATGAACTCGTTGCATTATAAATTACAACAGTTAGAAATATTATTAGCGTGATTTAGCGACCATCTTTGTTAACAAATAATTTCAAGTAACTAATTTTACAAATAATTCAGCCTGAAACTAGGTTAGAAAATAAGCTACATGCTGAAGATTAAGCTTTGCCAAGGTGTTAGAAACATCTTCTGTTAACTAGAGTTATGAAGCAAGAATTTGTAAAAATTATCATTTAAATATAAATTGGCATAAATACAATACAAATTATATAAATTTTACATACATGAAAACTTGAGTACAGTGCAACAATATGTGAAAAAGGAATGGATTAAAAGGGAGACTGAAAATCCCAGGATATGAATATAAGGGAGTTTGATTTTTTTTTTTTTTTGTTAATTATAAAAATTCTGATGACGCTCATAATTATCAATTTATTAATTAAATGTGTATTAGAAATTAAATGTATGCCAAAGTACATCAGGTGGAAAACAGAATAAATATTTAAACGTTTCTAGTATTAAAATATGGAATTTGTAACAAAGTTAAATAACCTTAAAATAACTTCAATGATTAAAAATGGAAAGCTTAATACGGGAATATATTGCAATAATATTAGTGTGAATTTAGAACGACTTAAGAAGTCCAATTTTTAGATTTAATAAAGATAATTTTTATAATTAAATTAGAACTGTTTACCTAAAATGGTAAATTTGAAAGTTAAAACCATTCTGCTATCTAAGAAGATTTGTTAATATTTATCTAGACAAGAAACTTATTTAAGGTGAGCTACAAATCCGATATTTGATACGTTGATTAATATGTACATTTTATTGTTATTTATATAAAAAAATCTTTTGTGTATTCATTCTTATTTTCTAGAAAACAAAAAAAAAAAAAAAAAAAAAAAAAAAAAAAAAAAAAAAAAAAAATCTGGCTCATCATTCTTTTAAGCATCATACTTTAAAATGAGTGTAAAAGAAATTTATTTTTTAGCGCCAGACTTTAAATTAATATTGTTTTACATGCACAATTTTTACAATATTGATAAACGAAAATAAAGGCTTGCAGTCTCAATAGAATGTCCCATTAATGGCGATAAACGACTTTTTGTAGTACCCAATCTTCTTGGGGGGGGACAGGAAACAAACGTCGCGCACTTCGTGGATTAAAAAAGAGTGGGACGGGGATTTTCGATCAAATTTGGCGCAGTTCGTATCCTACCGTTCAAACTTTAGTGACAGTGCTAGTTAAAGAAGTGATGTCAACAAATCAGCTATTCAGATAATTTAGGTACGTAATTTATTTACTTATTTCACAAACACATATATTTTCTTGAATTTAGCAGATAGTACTCTTATTATTTATATTTCTTAGTGGCGGCAAAAGGCTAGCGTCGGTCTTGAAAGTGACGCTTACGACTTACGTTACGGCAAATTCAGAAGAAAGTAAATACAAGTTAATACTGTTATTATTTAGAAAGAATTATAGGATTGAAATTTAAATCATTTTTAAAATATAGTTACTTTATAACAAACAAATTAATTTAATTTTTAACAATAAAATATGTTCATGTAATTATGTACCTACTTACTGTGTTTTTAAGCAATATATATGGATAAAAATTTATAATCTACTTACTGTGTTTTTAAGCAATATATAGGGATAAAAATTTATAATGTAATTTATAATAAATTACTTCTTTAGATTTTTAACATAATGAGTAAGAACAGAAGATGCAAATTCAAAGATGATCTAAGAAGTAAATTTACTTTTGTAAAAAAAAAAAAAAAAAAAAAAAAAAAGGCGATCACATGGTAAAATGTGAGAAATGTAATGGTGAATTTTCTATTTCGCCCGGCTGTAAGAATGATATTTCAAAGCACTCGGGGACACAGAAACATAAAAGATATTTAAATACTACTGCATCTTCCTCCAAAACGTAGGAATTCTTTCGGAAAACAATTTATGGAGACGAAGAAAAGAAATTAGCATTAGCAGGAGAACTTATGTCTTTTCATGCTAATAATCACAATTATTTCTTCACAACTTGTACATCACAAGTTGTCCAAACGTTATTCAACAAAAAAAGACAGCAATCTACTAAATTCACTCAAATGAGAAATATGCCAAAGAATGAAATAATACTATACGTAATTTCTTAATGTATTATATTCGTAAATTGTACTTATGTTGGAATTAAAAAATATATATTACAATACTACTTTTGCGTTCTATGAAAATTTGTGTTGCTCCATATAGACCAAATTTTTAATCAAGAATTCCCCCCCCGGTCAGTGGTGTCCCTCTTTAACAATGTTAAAATCTGGTACCTTACACTATACCTAGAAACGATTTGTAGTAATTTTACTATAGAATAGCACTATACTAAAGTTAGTTGTATCAAAAGTAACACAGTGTCAAAATAATATATAAAAAACACTGTTTTCTTAAAAAAAAAAACATTTTACAGGGCTTAGAAATGGCACAGCTTAAATAACATCAATAAAATCCTTTTCTGTTAATTATTTCTATTCTCAAAGGACAAAATAAAACATTCATGGATAGCAATACACTTATGAAACTAAATTACGCATATCTGAAACGTATATCAATCAGTATAAAAAAATAACATTTTGCCAAAAGGAATCTTACGCTTCTTTAAATCATCAAATATAAACAATTTTCCGCAATGTAACCGGAAATTCAAGAAAAAAAATATCAATAAATAAAACCGTTATGGACGCACCAGGGTAATAAACATGTCATTAAGCCACTGGCCATATGTTATACCTTTTTATGTTTTACCACATTTACCATTTCGAAACAAAACTGTATATTATAATTATGCAGTTCTCGAACACTCATTATGTGTAAACAAAATGAAAGAATTTCGTAATCACTTCAGGATGATGCAATATTCATAAAAGATATACATATATACTTTAAGAACACAGTAAAATTAAGAGTTAACACATTATAGAACATTAGTGTTTAAATGCAAAACAAATTATAACACTAACAACAACTATTTGTTGCTGATAAGCAATCGGAGTGGCGCACACACACTATAATTCATACCTGATGGGCGAGGTATTTCTTTTCCTAAAATTTTAGGATTTGGATCCAACGGGGTGGATGCAAGTACTATTTCTGAAAAAGAAAGTTAGCAAAAGCCAAGGAAAATTCTTAAAGCTAAACATTAACGTTGGACGCCACTTTGTGAGGGGATCGTTTTAGATAAGATCATAGAAGAGTCCTGTATAGTGTAACAAGTATTTATTAACAGGTTTAAGTTACAAACAGACATTATATTTAACTTTAACCTTTAACTACTGTGACTTAAATTGTCGCATAACTACTGTGAGCGATCTCTCAGACCGCTTCTACTAAAAACAAAATAAGATATTGTTTTCTTTTTTCTTATTTGAGTAAATGTTATTTAATTTCATATATTTAATGTTTTCATGAAGATATAAAGCAATTTTTATACTTAAATCAGTTCATTAAAATAAAATATATACTATGATAATAATTCCTTCGCTCACGTATCTGGATGGAAGAAGTAAATTTTAAAATTCAACTTTTTTATTTTACATTAAAATTTGCGATAAGAATGCTTTAATACGAATATAGAAAATTAATTTTTATTTTAAAAATTATAATTCGAGCTGCATTTTATACATACTTTTCTACTGCTTTGTAGACACACTGATTCTTTGCATGCTACATATTCGTAAGCTGTTTTCCTTTTTTTTTTTTTTTTTTTTTTTGCTTCGGTGGATAAATACAGCACGTTCATTTTTTTATCTTATTTATCGTCTTCGATCGCAGTGATGATTCGCTTCATCATCATTTATTCCGCTCTTCTTATTATTTGAGTTCTTTAGGTAAAAATGATGAAGTTATCCTCCGTTTTACATGAGACTGCACCAATTGAATTGCTAAAATTTTTTCGTTTCATTTTCAATGGGTTAAGTTTGAAATAATTACAAATGCATTTATTGCACAGATATCCAAGTTTCTGAAGAATATTGCCATAGGCCAACGTCGTGTTCGACGAGCAGTTGAATAGATTGAACGAAAAATAATATTGTGACTACGAGTTCGAACACCCTTGTTGGACTCTTGAATAGACCATATGAATTAATTTTTTACAATAAAAAAATCTCCTGTAGAAGGAGAACATGGATTTTCATTTTCATCGGCAGATATCTCTGAAGTTGTGTCATGGTCGCGCTTCATAATTTCATCATGGGAACTTTCATCAGAGAACTCTAAATTAGACCAATTTCGAACTATGTAGTCAATTTGGTCTTGGGTAAGATATATAGAACGTTTTCTGCACGCATTTGAAACCATTACAAGAATATTTATAAAAAAGCGAAATATGTAACAACAACGAAAATTGAACTTTATCGGCCGAAATTTGAATCGTATCTGCTGTGATCGGTCCCACAGACCGCTGAGGGGAAAAATTTTTAAAAAGGGAAAGAAGAAATATAGTTACCCAAATGCAACTTGGTATGTGACCTTGGACAACTGATTTAGGAAGGTACTAGAAATGGCAATACCCATTAATTATTCTAAGGGGTGGAAGCATTTAATGAAAAATGTCTCGCGGTCTGAGAGACCGCTCACAGCACTTAAAGGTTAAGAAAAATTACAGAGCAAGGGTCCGTACAACCTATCAAGTGGGACACTTGGCTTTTACTGAAGTACTTCTCTGTCTACTCACCAGAGGGCAGTCTTGTTGTCACAGTTAGTCCAACAGTTTATATTAAAGGATTGTTTACAATATTGAATTCATAATAAGTATAATTTCTTATGATTTAATTTGAACGTCAAACGATAATTTGACAAAATATGAAGATATTTGAAACGAAACTGATAATATGGAATCTATTGTCTTGAATAAATTAGTTAATTTACGATATATTTACCTCATAAGATTGACAGTGTACGTAAAGCGCCTAATTTACTTTCTTACAATGAAATGTATAACGTAAGTTTATTGTTGCCTAAACTCCAATTGGCATCAAAAAGCGTTATTCTGTAAATACATTTAAGCATGAGATGTGAAAAATAAATTCGCGTAATGCTGAGAAACGGTTTGAATTAGAGAATTGTTTTTCACTGGAATAAAAAAAAAATCTTGTTGTTTATTAAAAACCTAACTCGGTTTTGGTTTGCTTTAATTAATTATGGCAAAGCATACCAGAGCTGTCTGCCTACGAGAAGGGATCGGCTCGTATTCATGTTACACATGGAAAGAAACACGAAAACGCCCATGCAGCCAGCCCGTTCGTCTGGAATCGACCTCAAGTCGGAACTACCAGTGTTCAGCGATTTTAGCGCTTGGATACTATTTCATTTTCCCAAATATAAGTATAGGAACTGGGAGATCGCATTAAAAGTTAGATTTTGTTAGCTGCTCAAAATAAACTTTTTTTTTTTTTTTTTTTTTTTAACTTTACATTGCCAAAACATGAATATTTTCATTATTTAAAACACTTCTGCAATTGGAAGTTTATGACTACACCAATGATTACGAAAATAAATGCTAGGTAAAGATTTTTAAACCGGATATATATACATAATTTAACAAATATTCTCTATTCGTATAAAGCTAATTTAAAGTTAATTTAAATTTAAATTTTAAATTATGAAATTTTAATTGCATACAAATGAAAGATTAATTATTATTGCGGATTAGTTTACAATATCATTTAAATTCTGAGAGCATATGTAAATACTAGAAAGCCCGGCGATCATATGAAATGACCGCTGTTCTAAATATTATAAATTGTAATTAAAATGTTTTGTGCAAAGGTGTCTGCTAATTTAAACTGAATTACCCAGGGCAGGCGGCGAGGACGCCCCTTTGCTTACTGCCCCACGGGGTTTCCCCCTTCTACTTGCTTAATTGCTTAAAGTAGAGTGCAATGAAAGAAACCACTGGCGGTACATTTCCTAAGAGCAACCGCTAGCTCAATAAGTAAAGGTGATTTAAACAATGAAATGTTAATTCACATGTCAAAGATCTCTTTGTACACAACATTTCTTGTGTAGAGCTTTCCATCAATTTTAAGCTCGCCTTGCAGAGGACCATCCATTATTTTTAATTTTACGTCCGTTCTTTCACGAACTCTTGAACAGACAACATAAAGTTCACTGTGTCCAAATGCAGGCTCAGGTAAAAAAAATGCCAACACGCTTAAGTGTTTGGCCCTGAAACTTATTGATGGTCATAGCAAAGGCAAGTTTTACAGGAAATTGTCTACGTCTCAATT